AAATAAATAACCGCGAGTGAATTAAAGTAGTTTTATGTATTGTTTTACTTCCGATCCACGTATTACGAGGACGAGTTGTAATTACAGTACATCGCGTATGTAGAATCAACGCGAATTAAAGATAAAGTCAGTGATTGATTAAAAAATTAAGTAAAGTCAGTGAAAAGACGTATTAAAAATTGAAAAGGGCTTAGACCTAAACAGATCTCTGCGCAAATTTTTTCAAAAATTAAAAAACTTAGAATATTTTCACATGTCGAAAAATTTTCATTGCATATTTGAACTGTTTAAAAAGTAAAAAGGGCTTAGGCCGAAACAAACCTCTGCGCAAAATTTTTTAAGAATCCGGATACTTAGAAAAATTTCGGATTTCGATTTAATTACATTGAAGGAACTTAGAATAATTTACGGACATAGAGTTAAGTCAGATTGACAGCTCAGCGAGGTAAAACATTAAACAGAAGTAATTCTGAGAGTACCTACGCTTGATTTATATTGATTTACGTTGAGATACAACGAATTTGAGAATTTTAATTAAATAATTTTGTCCGAATTTCAGTTTTGAGCAAAGCAAAATTGAGAAATAGCGTTTGCATAAAGGAATCCCTGCGCAAAAATTTTTTAACGCTTAAAGACTTAGAAAATTTTCATTTAATTGAATTTCACATTCCAGATTTACATTGAGTAAAAAGTAAAAAGGGCGTTTGCCTAAACAAACCCCTGCGCAAATTTTTTTTGAGATTTAAAGACTTAGAAAATTTTGTACAAGCAGAAGGCGAAAAATTTATAAGTACTTAAGTGAAAATTCGAAAAATATTCGGAACATTGAGAGATCCATTTAGCACGAAAGAGCGAATAAATAGCTACTTGAAAATATAAAAATTAAAATAGATTTCATTGAATTTTGCTGAAAAATAGCATTTTAAAAATAGTTTTTGACAGGTCATCGAAAAGATCGATTCTTTTTCATAATAACGCTTATGCGAATGGTAGCAGTGATATTTTGTCCAATTTGTCAGTACATAATTAACATTTTGGCATTTATTCGAGACTTTCTGGATCGTTACATACCGGAAGCGTAGAGCACATTGCACAGTGGGAGAGCCCTGTAGCTTACGCTTACC